GGCTTTCCGGGTGGGTTCGGTCGGTCCCGTTTCAGTGAGCAGGGTCGCCTCCTTCCCCAACGCCTCTCGTGCCTCCCCCGCCCCCGCCCCCGGGTTTTGAGTTCTCTGACCTCTGTGTGCATGTGGGCGAAGCTCTGGTTTGCTCCCTGTCGGTGAATTTGTTAGCTGACGATGTAGACGTGGTCATGCTCATAGCGTGGCGCTCTCCGTGGGAGCTTCAGTAGCAGGACCGTGTAGGAAGAATTAAAATGAGAAACAGCGAAAGGCAGTATAGCGTGGTGGCTAAAAGCCTAGTCTCTGGTCTGACTGCCGGCCAAGCTTCAGGCTCTGGATGTGTGACCTCGGGCAAGTGCCGACCCGCTCTGGGCCTCAGTCTCTCGTCCGAGTGGGCGCAGCGAAGGCGGCGCACCTCCAGCGGGCTCCCGGGCGGCGCGGAGCGTGTTGCCCGACGAACCGCTAACGCAGCGAACGCGGTTACTGGGGTTTCTCAGGAATAGTTGGGTGGGGTTTTTGATTTATTTTGTTTGTTTGTTATGTTTCTGCTCTGACTCAAGTTTTCTTTTTTATTTTAGGTTCCATTTTTTGGGCGGAGAATGCATCACACGTGCCCATGTATGCCGGGCTTAGCCTGTTTACGGGCTTCATTCAACCGCTTTGTTTGTTTAGCCCGAAAGTAATCACTTTAGAGTAGAAACTTTGGATGTGAACGGCCACAGGGTGGCTGTAAGGTCTGTTTCCTTGTGATTGTTCCAAACTATAGCAGATAGTGTGCCAGAAAGAAGAGCTGCGGCTCCCTCCACGTGCCAAGTAACATTTCTAGCGCTGATTTTTAAATGACCTCTTTTTACTGAAATAATTTTGGTTTGGGGTAGAAATGTGACGTTCAAGGCATTATGGAACTGGCTCTAATTTCCTGTTTGTGTTACGATTTGGTTTGGCTTTTTTTCTTAATGCCAATAACTCACCCATTTTCACAAAAATGAGGACAGTAAGAATTTGATATTTTGTTACGGAAACTTTTTTTCTTCAACCCTCCTCCTCCCACCCCTGCCCCACCACCCACAGGCACCTTGTTCACCCTCCGGTCTCTAGTCTCTCATCCCTCAAAGAATTTTAAGGACCTCACTTTATTCTTTGTCATTTACCTCCCTGTCCCTCTGGCATTTTAAAATATGTGTGTATGGGGGGAAGGGGTGTCCCTATCCTCTAGCTCGCAGGCAGAGTCGCTGATGAAAGTCAAGCTCTTTGATACCTAAACAGGGAAGAGGTACAGTTGAACCAGACGCTCCAGGCTCCCCCACGAGGAGAGGAGGCTGGGCGCCGCTAAACTCCCCTGAACCTGCTGCGTGGCTGTGTGAGGACCGAAGGAATGCAACGCCACGTTAATTTAGTCCAGATTTATAGGCTTGGGGTTTTTGAAAAGACTTTCCAGTGCAGCAGTGATTTTCAGCTGGTGTGCCACAAGAATTTTTAAGACCTGCAGTACCTGACTGTTTAGTCAGGGGCACTGACCTCTTTTCCCTTAGATTGTCAAGTAAAAAAATGACAACAGCCAACATACGAAAGCCTCAGGTGTGAAGGAATCAAATGCATCTTATTTTTTTTTTTGTCAGATGGGCAAAAAATACATTTTTTTGGTGTGCTGCAGAATTTTAGTAATTAGTTTAATATGAAAATCACTGCAATACAGTATTACATTTATTTCTTTTTTTATGAAGTTAATTTTAGAGAATCTCGTAGAGATGTTACTAAAAATGTCACTTGAAGAGGAAGTATTGATTTTATTCTGGCATAAAACTAGTTACCATTTTTAAATCAGTATTAAGTTGTAATCTAAACTTCATTTGTAATCAAAAGGTCTGTTGTAATGGGTTGTCTGACATCCTGCCATTTGTACCTGTATCAATATTGCTGTGTAAAAATTCTGTATCAGAATGACAGTACTGTATATCATTTGATTTACTTTAATATTATATCCTTATTTTTGTCACAGCTGTCTTCAGTTTTTATTAAAAGCAGATTTTTATATAGCCCACATCCTAAAATTGGTAAAGACTCTTCAGTTGGTAAAATAGCATGAATACTATGTGAGTTTTCATTTTACACACAGGAAAGTTCTGTTTGCGTGGATATTGAGGCAGCACAAAAAATCTGTGAATCAGTGAGGTTCTGGAGCATGAAGGAGAATAACCGCAGTGGGGAATGGACTCGGGATTCCGCCCGCTGGGTCAGCAGATAGTGGTGGCGTGGCCATCAGGCGCTCAGGCGGGAGCTGGGAGCCGGCCCACGGAGAGGCCGCGCAGCCTGGCCTTGAACCCGCCGGTACCCTCCAGGGATTCAAGGTCACAGATAAACCACTTATAAGATGTGTTTCGCTTACTGATCCTCACCATTCCAACCTACTAACCGCTTCAAAGAAATGTCCCTCTTGTAGTCATGGACAGCCAGGGCCCATCGCCGCTCGTTGCGTGTAGCTGCACCCCGGGGCCATTTGCTGTACTAAGGACCATACTTGGTTACGGAAGTATTAGTTTTGGTTCAGTCTAGTCTGTGCTCAAGGAACATTCCTTAGGGAGTTTGTTGGGCACAAAATTAGACTTCAAGTGGAATCATGGGTAAAGAAACAGGCACTCGGCAATGTTGCGAAATGTTATTTTCGCAGGATGCTTGACGTGTCCTTTTTAAACGTGGTGAGAAAACTGGATCAATCATCCATTTTCACCCAAGTTAAGCAAGCATATAATCAACTTTTCAAAAAACTGACTTTTACACACACCGACTCAACTTTACAACGTGGGAGACAGTGCATAGCCAGGAGAGCAGGGGACACTCGGGTAGAAAACCGAGAACTGCACCTCCTGACTCCACCACCCCGAGAAACAGCGCTGCTCTGTGTGGCAGCGAGACTAACTCTGCGAAAAACAGCAAATGTCACTTTGTGCAGACCGGCGCAGTTTCCGCCAGGCCCAGGAGGGTCGCTCACTGAAGTTGGGAGTTCACAGGCGTGAATTTCTCCAAGATAAGGCAGAGAATTTACACACACAACCAAGGCAACGGTGTACTTTGGTGTAAGTCCTGTGAATGGATGGAATCCATTATGAAGTAGAAATGAATCTTATGCCAGAAACTACTGGCTAAATTCAAGTGCACCTTTGGATTTCGTTGCAAATACTGTCATGAAAACTGTCATTTCTGACTTCAACCTTTTTTTAAAAGCAACATGTTTTTTAACCATAGAAAAGTTTGTTCCCAAACAATTTTCTTACAGCCTCTCCCATGTCACCGCAGACCTTCGCCTTCCCGGCATCTCAGCGCAGTCTGGTTGGAGCGGGACAGTCAGTGACAGCAAGCACATGACCCCATTTTCTTCTTTGGTTTTAATATCAGAAATTTTGTTCCACTTGTTTCTAACTTCATTTTTAGAAGGTTAAAGTTGGGGCCACTTTTATTTTAAAAACAGTACATTTTTGGTATTCGGTGAGGGTCACTGTCTAAAGTCCATGGTGACCTTCCACAATCACTGTTCCATGTGGAGATGTGCATTTCAGGTGTCTCCTCAGAATAAATATTTCTTTCATGTTTTAATCTCTTTCCTTATATTGTTAATCCTCAGTTCTCCCTTCTGGATTAAAGAGAACTATAGTATTTTCAGTGTATCCCAGAGATGGCAATCCTTAACAACATAATCCTTAAAGTTTAGGTACCTCCACCTTTCCCCAGACAAGAAAATCAAGGTCCTTTCAGAGTGCACATTTCCCCAAATGAGAGGTGCCATTAATATGCTGATCTTGAAGTGCTATTCCCATTTTCCCACCATCCCCTGCCCTCAGAGACTGATTTGACTTGTCTTGGGTAAGGCCGGGGTGTTGTGGCTTTCTTAAAGCTACTCATTTAGTTGTGAGGTGTGCCCATGGCTGAGAGTCACTGACAGGGCTACTGTTTCCCTGTGACACTACTTTATGAGACACCTTTCTGGTTAAATCAGAAGTCAAGAGAGTAGCTAAATGTCTTTTCTTGCCACTCTCAAAAGTTCCTGTGACCTGCAAACATAAAGGAATGCTTCCTCTTAGTTCCACCACCACTTCTAGGGGGCAGCTCACAGAAGGTCCCAGACACACAGCTCACGTGAGGAGCTGTTCAAAGATGAGTAGGTGTGTGTTCAGCCTAGCTGGTCCCCTGGTTTTCCTGCTGGCCCCTAGTTCCTTGATCTCTCACTTCTTCCTGGTGTCTCCTGCCAGGTAACTCACCTTCCAAACACCCAAGCAGATGCTCCCCTCTCCCAGCTCCTCTTTCCCCTACATCTCAGGATTTCATTCTATTTTACTGGGCCCACAAATCATCAAAATGCTTTAGAAAGTCCAATATTGCAGCAGATTGTAACTGAAGAACTCAGATTGGTAAGCATTTCAATAAAACGTGTATATATCACAGAAGATTGAAAGTGAGAAAGAGGAACACCATGGTGGAAGCACGATTTCTGACAGTAAAATGCACAGACAAACCTCTGCGATGTGCGTCCCAAGCAGTCATCTGTGTCCCCGTGGCTTCCCTCTGGTGGTGGTGGTGTGCAGCGAGGCAGAGCTAGCCTGCTCTGTGGAATGGCCACTTTGGCAACTACCTCCAGGCAGCCTCTCACTGCTGTTCAGGGTTTCTCAATCTCAACACTGCCCACTTCCTGGGTAATTTAGGGGGGCGGTGTGCATTATGCATAGAGGATATTTAACAGCATTACTGGCCTTACCCAGGAGGTGCAAGTAGTTCCCCTGGGTTGTATCAATCAAAAATGTGTCTAGACATTGCCAAATGCCCCTTGGGGGTACAGGTGGGGTAAATGATCCCCTTGTGAGACCCACTGGTTCATTCTGGAAGATATTTTGTGTCTGCTTGACATTATTTAATGTTGTATTTTTGTTTCAGTATTAAACAAAATTTGAAATGACAGGATTTTAAAAAGCATCCAAATGGGATTTTACAAAATCAGCATCCTGAAAACGAAAAAAAAACAAAACAAAAAACTATCATTTTGCATCCAAAGTAATGGCCAGGTAAACATTTGATGGTAAACTTCATATAGCCAATTAAAGAAGTAGGAGTTATACGTCAGCTCTGTATTTCAAGGGGAAAAAAAATTTATATTAAGGCACTTTTTAAAACTTGAGGCAGCCATGGCCAGGTAGGTCAGTTGGATAGAACAGGGTCCTAATACACGGGTTTGATCCCCAATGAGGGCACATACAAGAAGCAACCAATGAATGCATGAATAAGTGGAAAAAGGGGGAACCAAGATGGTTGCAAGGTAGCTGGAGGCTGCGAGCCCTTACTGCCAACCAGGGACTAGGTTTACAGATAAAATATGCAATCAATTTGAATAACCAAGTGAAGAGTACCTGATCAAAATATTTTAGCTAAGGAGATCTGAAGAAGCCACATAGAGACTGGTAAGAGGAGCAGAGGTGAAGTGTTTAAGAGGCCCGAAGGATATTGGCTGCAAAGCTCCATCCCCCTGGCAGTGTGGGGCCTCAACCTCATGCAGGGATTCCAAACCCAGAGCAACAGAGATGGAAAGAAGAGCCTGAGTAGCACTGGGCAGAGGAACCCAAAGGTGAATGCTGGCAGGCTTCAGACCCTGCTGGGAACAACCTTGCCTTGGGGGGAAGCCCCTGAACAGTGTCTCATACATGGTGATGAAGGTTTACCTCTATAGACACCCAGCCTGAAGGGTTAACAATTGTGCCACAGAGCCCATCAAGACACCTCGAGACTGCACCTGCAGAGCAGTTTGCACACCATGGTCGGGCTTGAGCCTCATAGCCAGCCAGCCTGAGGATTGATCCCACCCACAAAAGGGCCACTAGCAGTCAAGACTCAATTACAGCAGGAGGGTCCAAACAGCCCACACAAGAGACATTCCTAGAATACCCAACTCAGGTGATCAAGGAGACTGCACACTTGGTCCCACAAGACACTTACTACATAAGGCCACCCCATGAAGACTCGGAGGCACAGCAGTTCTATTCTAAAACAGAAGCAAGCACAAAGAGAGCCAAAATGGGGAGACAAAGAAACAGGCCCCAAGTGAAAGAACAGGAGGAAACTCCAGAAAAAGAGCTAAATGAAATGGAGGCAAGCAATTTATCAGAGAGTTCAAAGTAATGGTTATGAGGATGTTCAAGAAACTTAGAACAACAACAGCATGAAGAAGGACATAGAAACCATGAAAAATAATCAGTCGGAAATGAAGAATGCCCTGTCTGAAATACAGACTGCACTGCAAGGAAGAGCCAGTAGGCTGGACAAGACAGAGGATCAAGTCAGTAAATTAAAAGACAAGATAGAAAAAAATCACTCAGAACAGAAAAAATAAAAAATAAAAGTAGGACGATAGCCCAGCCGGGCGTGGCTCAGCGGTTGAGCATCAACCTAGGATCCAGGCGATCGGGGTTCGATTCCCAGTCAGGGCACATGCCTGGGTTGTGGGCTCGATCAATGACTCTCTCATCATTGATGTTTCTATCTCTCTCTCTCCCTCTCCTTTCCNCTCGATCCCCAGTCAGGGGCATGCAGGAGGCAACCAATCAATGACTCTCTCATCATTGATGTTTCTATCTCTCTCTCTCCCTCTCCTTTCCTTTCTCTCTGAAATCAATAAAGATATATTTTTAAAAAAAAAAGTTAAAAGAATAAATAAATAAAAATAAATAAATAAATAAATAAATAAATAAATAAATAAATAAATAAATAAATAAATAAAAGTAGGACGATAGTTGAAGGGAACTTTGGGACAACATGAAATGTAAACATGAAACATAACAACATCCACATCATAGGGCTCCAGAAGGGGAAAAATTGAGCAAGAGATGGAGAACCTGTTCGAAGAAATGATGACAGAAATCTTCCCTAACCTGGTGAAGGAAAAAGTCACACAAGTTCAGGAGGCATAGTGAGTCCCAATCAAGATAGACCCAAAGAGATCCATTTAAAACTGAAGTTGAAATAAAGAGCTTCCCAGACAAAAGAAAACTAAAGGGAGTTCATTACCACCAAA